CACGTGAATCCTTAAGGACAACTGGCAGGAACAGCGACAACGACACCGCTTTCCGCCGAGTCATGCATCATATCTACAGCTGCGGAAACTCCTGGGTTAGGAGGGGTTCGTCCTCGGAGTAGGATTGGATTGGGTTGGGTTCGTCCTGAAGTTTCAACGAGGTGAGAGCCGGGGGTTGGATGCAACTGAAACTGAAACCGAAACCGAGAAGGAGAACGCGCGTGGTTGACACGTGATTCCGGTGCTCGTAAATTTTCAAGAACTTCCCATCTTTTTTAGTGCTCCTTGTAGTTTTTAATTTGTGGCTTGTTGGGCAATGTTAACAGTTATTATTTATGCGATGAGCGGACAGATAGCGAAAGTTATGGGATATTTTTAAAGCGGATATTAAGTTGGCTACCTGTGATAAGGATTGGGAGTATCGAAGAACATTTGCAACCCCAAAAGGCAAGGCAGCAATTTTTGAATAGGGCGAGAAGAGCGAAAGATGTCACTTGGGGATGCTTCCCTCAATATGTAGGTTTGAGAATCTGCGAGTGTGAGTGAGTGTCACAGCATCATCCATCATTTTGGACTTGACCTTTTTTGGGCTAAGCTTCCGTTTAACGCAGACTAAAGGCGAATCTTTAATTTTGTATTTGCTATCTATCACTGAGTGAGATACAGGCGAGCTGCACATGTTACATCCGAAGGACACAAAGATTGTCCGAGGGGGCGGCAACAGTCAAATGTCAGACAGACCACATAAGCGACTCTCTGGGAAATCTGCCTTGCAATGTCCCAATGTGAGCTTTTCGATGAGCACATACACACGTCTGTATAAAACATATTTCCCCAGTTGGTTTTCACTTTTGTGTCGTGTTAAAAATGAATTTGTCATCTGTAAACGGTCTGACATGTTTGCCAAAAAAATAAATCTCATTCACTCTCCACCTTTTTGATCATCTCATGCCAGGCCAAGTCCATTGGGCAATACATCAATTGTTGTTCGGTGGTTGACTTAACTCCTGAAGGCAGTTGAGCCCAAGTCCAGAAATCCCTGATTGATTTGCATTGAAAATTGTGATTTTAATTGACATGCGATGAGCGAAGCAATACAACAGACCAATAATTATGTCAATGTGATCAGCTCATTGATCGATGGATTCTGCTTCGAGGGATAAGGATGTATTTTTGAATCAACTTTTGAGAGGGCGCTGTTTAAAAAATGGCTCTTAATTTACTCAACTTTTCTTAAGTTAACTTTGGTAAGCAGAAGTATTTCAAAAACTGCATTGAGATTTTGTACTCTGACTTGCAGCAACTCCATTCCAATCTTTCCGATCTTGCTATCCTTTAACTACATTAGCACCCATAGTTTTCCATTGGAAAAACATGCAATTATCAAATTTTATTGTGTATATAACTTTCTTCAAATGAGGTATACATTTTAATTTAAAATGAAATTGAGTTAAAATTGTATATTTTCCAGACCAGGTGTGTCATTCCCTTATTGCGGCTGTGCATAATAAACTTGAATTATTAAACATGTAAAACACATGCACATTGACAAAGATGTACACATTTATTTTCGGTGATTACAACTCTTTTCTAGTTATTAATTGAAATTCGTACACAGCTCACATAATTGGAACAGATCGGAGCCGAACGTGCTAGATGTAATATGCCATAAAAATAGCAATAAGTGGGACAATTATGAACCAATAGAGGCGAACCCATAAAGGTGGGGGAAATGGAAATGATGGGGAGTGGGATTCGGGCAACATGGTTCCCTGGGCTTTATAATAGCCCCGAATCGTTTAGCTTTAATTCGAAATGGGTGGTTGAAGGTGGGCCGAAGGGGGAAAGGTCGAGGCAGGTGCGCGGTGGGTGGTGATTATTATAAACGCATCGTTCAGATCATTGGCCAAATGGCTTTTCGAACAATTTGTTGCTTCGCTGCTGATTGAATGGCGGCCACGGAATGGTGTGTTATGGGGTCTAAAGAGCGTGAAATTTATATGCAATTAAAATAATATTTTTCCAGCCGAGTGAAAACACTCATGATTATTACCAAGCACACATATAAAATAATTATTGATATCTCTCTATCACGTATAGATTTTTATAGCCAACAGCTGTCAACAAAATGTGCGCGAAATAATAATTTCCTTTGGTTCAAACAAATTTGGAATAATATGTATATCCCACATTAAAGCCGAGTTCAAGGTTTTTTCGCCAGCTCTATATTCTTTGCGTTTTTTTAAATTCTTAGAAAGTGCAAAGGGGATAGCAGGCCGAGTGACTGCTGCGGTTAATGGCTTTTGAATGCAAATTCAATTTTATCGCACTCTGTTCACTTTTTAATAAGATTTCCACCCAGCCCCACCTCCCCGCCTCGACTGCTGGCGAAAGGTGCACTCTGTTGGAAATGAAAATTAGTTGCAAGAGCCGAAAAACAAAAAAGAAAGACTGAGGGAGAAATGAAATGAAAGCCCAGAGACACGCGACTTGCGACCTGCGAGAAATGTTTTTGGCGCCACAAGCAAACTTGTCTCTCTTTCTTTTTTCCTATTTAAAAGTGGTGGTATCTTTACACAACAAAAAGTTTTAGGGCTCTACCATTTTAATTGGAAAATAATCAAAGTTTTATTAAAAATTTTTTTGTGTTATAATATACTGTTCTATAAAGTTTAATTAAAAGAAAAATATTTAAATATAATTCAATTCAATGAAATATATATTTAGTACAAAGTGTACTATTTTGTATTTTTATTACTAATATAAAACAAAGAACACGTTGAAAACATAATTCTTTTAAAAAGTTGCGAACCAAATGTTTATACTTTCTAAGTATTCGTGACCACAGGATATCAGAATTAATAAAGAAGCCCTTTCGTGTTAAGAAACAAATTACAAATTACCTACAAACAGTTCCTGCTTCATTAGATACTCTAAAATAATTCTGAATCTATGAAGTTTAGGATAGTATTTTCCAAAGTGTCTTGCTGCTCGAGGGGCACTGCCCACAATACAACAAATTGCGTTTCGTGTGCGAGAGTGGGTGGGAAAACTGTCAGAATGAATGAGTAGCCCGGTCACACCTACTCCCTGTCAGTCAGGCCCGAATTCGCCCCTGAGCAGCCCCAAATGGAAATGGCAATGGCAATGGCAGTGCCGAGAGGTATCGCACCGAAAACTGTCCAAGCCATTGCCTTGAATCGGACCTGGGATCGGGAGTCGAGCAAAACAGAAACTTTAGACTGCAAAATATTCACGGACAGATACAATAAGCGCAGATGGATAGATAGCTCACTACATTCTTTTCAATTAGGTAAATGGTCTTTCAGTATGATTAGAAAGTGTCTACTGGGGGAATTTGGTACTTTAAGGTGTAACTTAAGGGAAAGTGTGTTGTGGGAATAAGATAAGTTAAATTGCTGCTAAGCTAAAAAGGTGAACATTTAAAATATTCAGAAGAAATCGCATTGATGATTTTATTTTTAAAGATATTGTTGATCTATTGAAATTATTGTGATTATAATACTATATTAAATGTAATATATAATGCTACACCATAAAAATATAAATATTTTCCCCACAACGGCAGGTATTTGTTGGCCATAAATCAAAGAGAAAAGCCCAATGAGCTTGAGCCGGATGTAACTGCAGCTCCACCCATTAAAGCCAGTTCCATCTTTAACTGAAATATCCGAAATGGCCGAACAAAGTGCCCAGTCATATTCATGAGCTTCGCATCAGCTGCATATAGAAATGGGAATGTTCGCTGATTATCAAACGAAAATATTTGCTAATCACGCAGCTGCTGCCGCTGCACGAAAAATATCAAATATTGCTTATGAAACTGCATAAACTTGGCATCAGTTCTATGGGAAAGGGTGGGGAAGTGGGTGGGGGTCTCCCCCAGGAAGACAGACTGAAACCCAACCCAATAGGAATTAAGTTCCAGGCTAGACGCTATTATTTCCGACAGCATGGTTTTATTTGCCTTTGCCCATCATCATCATCGTCGTGATCCAACCCCTTGCTTCGAACCTCCTCCCTTTTTCGAATAATAGACTTGTACTTGTGAGCGAAGTTCTGCGCTTCCTTGGGACTTTCCTGGCAGGGATTTCCTACTTATTTTTTGCCTTCGAAACTTCTCAATTACGAAGTTGTGTTCCAGGACAGGATTGTGGAAAAGTGGGGATGGGAAGTACTTCCTATTGACCACTCGTTACGTGCTGCATGTGTTGACCATGTCAAACCGGCTGGGAAACTTCCGCTTGCCGAACTTTGAGGTTAATTATTTTCCACTCTTGATACTAGCCAACTTCCAGAAAGAAAGTTTCTTAGCCAATATTATATAGTTATATACAAGTTGCTGGCAACTTTGTCACCAAAAAAGATAAACCAATACCATGTCTTAATATTTTAAGCTGAGTTCCTCTTTGAGGCAGTCAAGTATGCACCTTTGCAGGTGAATGGAGTCTTAAAATATTTATACACCTCAATAAGCATTTAACGATTCTTTTGTGCATCTGGATGTATGGTATGACATTTATGCTTATGTCTCGGTTTAAGCTTTCATTAAACTCCAGAGTAGTCTGAATACTTAAAGATATGATATGAGTGGAACAATGGAGGAATATATGCTCACTACATTTAAAGCTCTGTTCAGTTAGCCATTTAAAAAATTTGTTTTTTGGAAGTGGATCCCCTAGATGGGAAAAGTGTAGCTTTTATCGCGTTTGTGATAATTTTGTAATAATGCTGACATGCATTTGAATATATGACAAAGACAAATTTTATTAATATATATATTTGGTGTATTTTGAAGAGCTTCGATCTTATCAATTCTATTTTAAGGTACTTTGATCAGATTTCAATATGGAAAAGGGAATTTAAAAGAAACCCTTTTAAAGAAAATCCCACCTAATAGCATTAGAATACCCAAAAACCGATTATTAATATCTATTAAATACCCTTTCTAATTAAAACTTTTTCTTTTCTCATTTCAGGTGATAACTCCATAAGTAAGTGTTTCCCCGCTAAATAAACTAATTCTCACCCATTGTGCAATATTTCCAACCACAAACCATAAGATTCTCCAATTGGCCTGAAACTATAAATAGTCAAAAAACATTTTGCATTCGTTGTGAGCGATTCTTCAAGGTAAACACATAAATTGAGGGTCCAAACCGCAGTAGCCTGATTAAATCTTATTATACCAATTTCGGTCCAGCCTACAGAGATGTGAGCAAAAACCGCAAAGCGAAAAATGTGAATTTTAATAATTATTGTATAACAATTTCCTTTGAAAATTTGCTTAGCCAAATAATTATATCGTTTCTGTGGAAAAGATCTGGCAAAAGTAGAGACGACCATTTTGTGTATCGAAATCATCGAGAGTAAGCCCAAAATGAACCATAAAAACTGAGAAAAAACTGAGCCAATCAAGCGGCGACCATTTTGGAGACGGTTCAACGGAAACGTCGCTTTTTCATGTTCGTGACCAAAGTTTGGGTTTATTTTATATTTTTTTTCGTGGAGGGGGAGGGGGGAAAGGGAAGACAACGCAAACAGCGCTGAAAATAAAGAAACACAGAGAGGGAAAAATACATATTTTACCTGAATTAAATTGAGTAACAAAACACGAAAGTTTTTTATATATTCGTGAGTGTGAGTGTATATAATTTAAGAAATATATGTAGACCAATCTTGTTCGTGTTTTTTGTTGTTTGCTGAAAAGGGAGAGAGAGCCACAAACACGCTACCAGTTTAAGTTGGCCCACACAGACACACACCAGCACCCACCACCACTCTCTCTCACTCTCTTTTTGGGCTTTGTTGCGGAGGAAATAATTACATGATTGAGGTACTCCACACACACACGCGCACAACACTTGCTCGAATACCCACAGTGACATACCCTCTTCCCCTATCCCCTATCCACCGATTCGTCCACCTCGTCGTATTTTTTACCTTTTGGTGGTGGTCGTTGTCTGATCGAAAAGAACATGTCAGGTTTCCCGAGCTGGCCATTCCATCGCCTGCCTTCGAGTTCGAGTATGAATGAATGACCGGGCCATGGCGGCTTTTTATAGACAGTGGTAGTGGTTCTTGTCGGTCTGCTTTTTTCTTCGTGCACCTTTTTTTGGTTTTTGCACTTGAAAAAATTAAAATTAGAGGTGCTTAACTAAAATGACGGGCTTAGATCAATATCAAGTTTTATTTTTAAAAACAATCTGTTTATTTTAATATCCTTGTGTTTAAATACTTTAAACATTATCACTGCAGGTGTCAAAAATATTTTTAAAAACTTGATCTTCTAGAGATCAAACGAGCGCTCATGTGTTGTCCTATTATAATTGATCTTTTAGGTTGCTGGATATTGATATTTTTTAAAATAAGTTCTCTTCGAGTTACGAGTTTAAAAAGGTCTTTAATTTCCAAATCGAATCAAAATAATTTTTCTTTAATGTTTAGTATCCCAATTAATTTGTTTCACTTTTTATCAAAGTGTTGATTGTCTGTAGATCCAAAGTAGAATCGTATTTCATTATAAAACTACGAATTGCCTTAATTTTTATTATTTGTAAAGTTTTCAAAAATTCTTAAGTAATAGAAAACTGCAAATTTGATAATAGCAATTTGCAGAAAATGCAACTTTAATTAAATTTATAACCAAATGTTATTTTCAAAACATTTTGAGCTATGTTCGGTAAGATAATATTTATCAAAATACTTTGTCAGGCTGAACTTTCTTTCAGTTGAAGTACTTAAAAGCATATTAATTGCAGCTCGTAAACCTAGTATTTTTCAATGAAGATCTTTCAAACCTAATAAGCATTTCTTTCTGTGTATGTAATTCACGCTAGGCCGCAACAATGTCGACTGACGACTGGCGGCGGACGGAGGCGCTGGCCCAGGGCAATTATTGTATCGCTGGCTCTGAACACCCTGCCACCCTCCCACCCTCTGCTCCAGCCACCAAGTTACCCCTTGCAACTCCTGCTGGGCCACAAAACGGTAACCACTCTGCCGTGTGGTTGTGCGTGTGTGTGTGCAAGGAGCAGAGTTGAGGTCAGCGCATTGTCGTGTTGTAATTGGCTGGCTGTGGGTTGGTTATTTCACAGGACATAACACCCACTCTGGAAGGACACCATGTGTCACATAGGGCTTATACATATCAGCTGAAGCGGTTCCTAACTACACAAAGGAACTCACAATTTATATTACATATTTCTAACATAGTCAGTTATTTCGTCTAATTAGTACTCTTTAAGTCCAATATTTTCTTGGTATTCGTCTACTATGACTTTGAATACACTATAAAGGTAAACCGCAGGTTTAATTGTATCCAAAAATTGCATACCACCAAATATAAGTTTAAGTAAATATAATTTTTATTTATTTTTTATGAAAATAACAAAGAAAATCCTAAATATTCAAGTTCAACAGAAATCTCCTCTGTACAACATAAGAACAAGTTATCCTTCTCGCAATATAAATTGGGACTTCCTCGATTGCTCGTCTTACTCCAGTGCCTCTTTCGATGGATCATCTATGATATGTGTATATGCTATTACTCCGGCTTGTCAGTCATGAGGATTTCCCATTAATTTTGCCTGACCTTTAAAGTTCCGCCCCAAAAAAAAAGTGTACAAAAAAAAGAGCTCTACCCACGCTCAGACCTTCGGACTGGGATCTTCCCAAACCCTCCCCTTGGAAGTATTTCCATCTGTGGCGCAGTGGCAGGATTAATTTCTAATTTCGCCTAATGTCCGAGTGTTGCCCCGTTCGATGTTTACATTTTGGGTGTCTCGTCTTCTAATTTACCTTGATAAAACGTTACCATTTCCATTCCCAGTCCCAGTCCCATTCCCAATCCCATTCCCAGGCCCTGCCCTGTCCTCGGGCTGTTTTTGTCTCTGCCCCCCGAACGCATTCGAGCCGTAGAGGTAGCCGGACTCGCAGCCGGATTGGGAATCGTAGTCGCAGTCGGACTCGGAGACGGGCCCACATGTTTGCATCATTAATCATGACGTTTCAGCTCTGACACATTTGGCCGATCGGCGGCAGCGGCTGCAGCAGAAGCAACGGCAAGCGGATTGTAATGAACACGTTTTGTAAGGCAGACAGCAAGAAAAACGCGGAGACACAGATACAGATAGCCACACAGAAACAAACCCATAGAGTCAGATAGAAACGCAGACACAGACCGAAAGACATGGCCAGAAAGCGGATGGAAGACGACGAGCTTGAGACAGACGCATGTCAGCGATGGACGTCGAACACTGCGGATGCGTGAGCACTCAGAAAAATTGGGAATTATAAATTTATCATATTCCCAAGTATTACCCAAAAAGGAAAACAAGAGCTCGCATTATGCACAGAAATTTAAAAAAGCTTTATGATGCATAGAAGTAAAGTAATACAATAGTTTTAAATGAAAACGAAAGCTTAGCAAACATAAAAACATTAACTTACTGAAAAAAGAAAACAAATCTTTTTACTGCACGCTTACAACAAACTCAATTTTGAAATTTGAATTTTCTGTTAAAATCTGTATTTGTTGTTTAATTTACATGATCTCTTAAATGTATCTGAGATTTTTTATAGCGCCTTAAAACCCTCCGTAATATTTTAAGTCTCCACAAATTATAGACAGAAATTTCACTAAATATTTTTGAGTGTATTCGGTGCGTGGCTGGCGAAGAGAGGACGGGCAGAGACAATGGGCCATTCGAAGACAAATATTTTCACAATGGCCACAAAAGACAAAAGGAACAAAACCAACAAGCAGCGAAGGCAGAAGGCAACTCATGTAAATATTGGCCAAAACTATTTACGAAACTATTAGCTGCCGTTATGGGCAAGACTAATTGTGACGCTCCGGGGAGGGTGCGTTTATAAGGCGGGATTAGCCAGAGATAAAGGGACGTTAATAGGAGAAGAGTTTCGTAAGGATTGCGTAAGGACTACGCACAATAATGAGGTTTAAACGATGACAACTCCCAGACATGGCTTTCGATTTGCTTAACCGTGATGAATGTGTCTACCCTCTCAATTTTATCAAAACGAAGTTGAGTACAAGATAATGGGTGCACCCAAACGGTTTTTTACTTGAAGAGTTTTTCTAACATAATTTTTAACTTTTTCTATAAAAACGGGTTTGGCCATGACAAAGTTTATTTGAAATGTGCTTATTTGTAGTTAAAATACATAAATGATTTTATTCTTCATTGTGTTTCTCCAACCGAATCTCTACACTTTATGCTGAAGGTAGCGACCTTTACTCTTAACCAACCACTTTGCTACAAATTTAAATAATGCAGTCCTTAAAGCACTTTTACCCCGGCTTTCGGCAAGTTCCTGACTGAAAGGCCATTTGTCCTTGGTATCAGCAGAGCTGCTACTAAACCAAATCTAGGTTGACTTATATACTTCCGTTTCCGGCAGCGAACATACGCTCCAACTCAGGTCGGATCCCTAACCAAACCGTCGCCTGTGTTCGGGGGATTTTTTATGGCCGACTCTCGGGAAGGGGAGAATGTGAAGCGGAGTGTGTACTTGGCGCAGAAACAGAATTTTATGCAAATATCCTAATCAAATTCACATTTTGAAGTTCAACTGTTTCATCCAAAAGTTTTACCTACCAAAAAAGCCGAGAGCCAAAGCCGGCAGCGTCGTTGTCGTCGTGTGGCAGACGCGTTCGAGACTCGAAGCCTCGACGATGCCACCCATTTTTAATTTATTTCCACTTTTCCACTTAAAAAGGAGCCACCCCACCCCCTGAAGTAAGGCCCGCCCACACCTCCATCCGAATCCCGTATCCGGTGCGTGCGTCCGGCGGAGTTTGCCGGGGTTTGGGGTTGGTGTTATCGTCCGCCCGTTTACTGTCTTCTGTGCACCAAAAAAAATATAATATAATACATATTAATCAAATCGAATTTGTTTAGAGAATAAATAATACACGACTTTTTAAAAGAATAGTCTTAAATATGACAAGTGGAAGCAAGTAAAGATAGGA